CTTGACAAGCTGTCGTTTGGCTTTATTAGAAGATTCATGCTGACGCTGTTTCCGAGGCAATATCCTTCGATTCCGGCGAAAAGGTGCTAAGCTTTCATCCGTCATATGACGAACATCATCAGAGCAAGGTACATCGCAAATTGAGGTATAAGAAGTAAGTGGGATCTCGGTTTGCCACCTTGCTTGGTTTCGGTTTTTTGTGATTGTTCGGAAATAATGGTTTCTGGCTGTGACGGCGGCCGTCACATGACGGACGAAAGCTCAGCACGGAGTAATCGTGGTCGTGGGACGCCGAGCCAAAGACAACCCTACTTCGGTATCCCTAAGCCACCCTTCTACCAGCCTGTTCAAACGAAATGAAATTTATGCCGGTATTAGGGTTAACCTAAATTAACAATGAATGCAAACAAATGTGGACCAATCGTTTTTAAGGCTGAAAGTAGATCATTGTGAGAAATAATGTTCTCATTAAGAGGGAATTTTTTTTGGCCCAGTGTATGCTTGTACCCCAAAAGGCATCCAAAAAGATTAGGACAGCCCAACAGCTGACATCAGCCAGATTGAGTACAAAAGGCTAATGTCTGTGAGTGTGGTGATGGGCTCCAACCAACAAGCATAACTCCAAAAGCCGGGTCTCGATTATCAAATAACTGAACTCAGACTTAATCGTTGTGGGGCAGACATATTAAATAGCTGGGATATTGAGGGTTTTTCTGCGGTAATACTCGCTTATGGGAAAGAAAGCAGAAGCTTTGAGAAGACAAACGGCACTTACGGTAGTCAGGAGGAGTCATCTCCGTGCTCGGCATGGGCTGACGAGGGTAGTTGCCAGGGGTGGAGGCCCAAGCCTGAGTATAAAAAGAGTAGATAGACAGAGCAGTGGGTGAATTTGCAAGGGCACGTGCAAGTTACCATTTCAAAAACAGAAAAAGAGTATGAGATGTATTCACCCAATTTCGTTTAAGGTAATGAAGGACTGGTAAAAGAATTTTCCCACAATGTTTCCCAAGAGTTGTTCTCATCCAGAGTGGATTTCAGTTTCGACCTCGCATCGGTTTTATTAACACCCCCAGCGGGAGTCGAACCGTGGCAGTGTAGAATGGGAGCTTGACACTTTAACTACTAGACCACATTGCCACGAGTGCCCTTGGGTCACATGCAAATAGGAATTTCAAGGAAGGCCAGGCCTTTTATCATATCATATTCTTTAGTGGGATTGCCGATGAAGCAAACGTATATTTGCTATAACAATAGACTACGTGACTTTATTTTTCGGATTTTGAGTATCGTTTCGAGACTACCAGTAAATCAGTAATATGAGACGTATTCACCCAATATGATATGATAAAAGGCCTGGCCTTCCTTGAAATTCACATTTGCCCTGTGATCCAAGGACACTCGTGGCAATGTGGCCGAGTAGTTAACGTGTCAAGCTCCCATTCTGCACTGTCACGATTCGACTCCCGCTTCGGGCGTTGATAAGACTGATACGAAGTCGAAACTGCAGTTCACCTCAGCCGGGATGAGAATAACTTTTGGGAAAGCAAGGCAATATGAAATTTAATGGAAGCGTTAGCTCTATTCCTATCATTGTGGGAAAATTCTTCTACCAGTCCTTCATCACCTTAAACGAAATCGGGTGAATACATCTCATATTACTGATTTACTGG